TTACATCCTGTTGATCGTCTATGTAGATGATATACTCTACATCGGGTCAACCGACGGCGTCACCACCTGGTTCGAAGGGGAGCTACAACAAGACCTCACACTCACGGTCTCGTCTACCGTTACGCAATATCTCGGGCTCAACATACGGGAAGAAGAGGACGCGATCTACCTCAGCGCCGCGAAGTACGCCGACACCATCGCCAAACGCTTCGCTCTCACGCCGACCACCATCTCCACGCCATATCGCTACACGGCAGGAAACCACAAGGAAGGATCCGCTCCACTAAAGCCCGCCGGCATGCGCGACTACCAGAGAAAGCTAGGATGCCTTCTCTTCGCAGCTGTTACGTGCCGTCCGGATCTATCATACTCCGCAAGCCAGCTCGCCACCTACCTCAAGAAACCTGAAGCAGATCACATGGCAGAACTCGACCGCGCTCTCCACTACCTCGTCAGCACCCCAACCGTCGGCCTAACGTACCACAAAAATGGAGCCACGACTCCTAAGCTAATCGGCTACGTCGACGCCGATCACGCCGGCGACTCCGACAACAGGCGTTCCCGCACCGGCTACATCTACCGCTTTGAGCCTATCGGTCCTGTCTCCTGGCAGTCGAGCTAACAGGAATTAGTTGCCCTCTCTTTAGCTGAAGCAGAATATATCGCACTCTGCTCAGCCACCAAGGAAGGACTGTACCTTCGCGAACTCCTGGAGGAAGCGAAGCTTGCTCAGTTACCTAGCTTCACTCTGTTCTGCGACAACCAGTCAGCAATTCGCATAGCCAACAAGAACGGTTTCGCGAACAGGATGAAACACATCGCCCTACGATATTTCTTCGTGAAGGACGAGATCGAGAAGGGGAGACTCGAGCTGTCATACTGCCCTACATCCGAAATGGCAGCTGACTGCTTGACCAAGAAGCTTGGAAAGCAAAAGTTCGAGTACTGCATGCTGTTGACTGGACAGAGCCACGTCAACAGCAGCGACACTCCAGAAGCGAAGGGGAGTGTTGGAAACAACTAACCTAAAGCGCCTCTGTCGTGTCGAAACACCAAGACACAAGCGAAGCGAAACATATCGAAGCACCAGCGAGTCAACCCTCGGAGGTTGAAGTAACTGCTGGAGGCTACGCCAAAGCCAAAGGTCAGAGACCTTTGACTTGACAAGTACAGCGCGACAGCAAGGACACACAACTGACTCGTTACAGAGCAGTTGCCCGAGTCGTCACTGTATCGAACCGCAACAGCAACAGTAAAGTAGTTATAACTGCATCTCTTCATATTCCTTGTACTCTTATATAATCTTGTATCTCCTTGTTTTAATCAATCTACTTTGCCCTCACATACCGTCACCCCCCGGATATAAGCGCCACCCTAGGATAAGCGCCTGGCGCTTCTAATTGGCATATGGCGCTTATATCCCCTCCTCGATTATAAGCGCATACCCTAAAGTCGTACGGATTATAGCCGCATACCTGTACCTTACACATTATAACTGCCACTTTTTTTAAAAAAAAAATTCTACACGCTTCACTAACCACATTAACATTGTATATTTTCATCTAATTAATTACAAAGTCAATTTGTCTAAAGTTTTTTCTAATTACAGTTCTAAATCTACCTACGAGTCTCACAGGCTACAACAATTTCTAGATCTACGTAATCTAGTCATCAGCTGCGGTAGGATCATCCGGGTCGGCCTCAGAGTCCGACTCTGGTTCTTCTACGTTGTTGCAGAAAAAGCCATCTGCTGCAATGTCGTCGTCGATGTCTATTTCGTCGCCCTCAAGCTCGTCGCGCCTGTGTTGCAGGCACATCTTGTCCTGGGACCCATCCAGGGCGTTACTAATGCCACAGGTGAGGAAAGCCCGTTGAATCAAGTCCCTGGGCACGGCCTTCCAAGCCGCTGATATCCACTTGAGCGTTAGCTCGGGTGGTGGCTTCTTGATGTTGCCTGCCATAAAATTTAAACAATCAAAAGTCAGCCACCGCTACAAACTGTTAAAGCAGCACACGCATGGCCTGCCTCTCTCACCTTTCTTTGTCAAGGTGTCGACCCCCTCGCTCTCGAACCACTCCTGGTAGAGCTGGCGAACGGATGCCTTGAAGGAGCGATTCACCGCGACGTCCAGAGGTTGAATCTCCGAGGTGCAGCCAGCTGGGATAACGGCAGGGACGATGTTCAGCTCCCCGAACTTCTTCTTCACCTCCGCAGTCAGGTGCCCGCGGTACGAATCCAAGACGAGCATCGCTTTGCGGGGCCTCACTCCGAACTTGGGGTGGACGAACGGCTTCACTGCCCCGTCGAGCCACTCGATGACTCCGTCCGCGTCCATCCAACCGTTGGGATGGACGGACACCGTAACATCTGCACAGCCATAAACGCACGTACAACATCAGTAGACATAGAAAAAAAAAAAACATGCAGCAGTGGGTGTTAATGCTCACCTGAAGGGAAATCCCCTTTAGGCAGGGTCTTCCGTTTGAAGAAGACCCACGGCTTCAGCTTCTCACCGCTGGCAGTGCAGGCGAGCATCACCGTAACTCGCTCCTTCTGATAGCCGCCGCTGCGGATAGGCACAGAGCGCAGACCCACCTCCTCGACTGTGCGTTCGGCAGGCATCTCGAGCCACAGTGGTGTCTGGTCCGCGTTTATTATCCACTGCGGGTCAATCTTGTATTGGCGGCGGGTGTGACGCACGAACTTCCAGAAATTCCTGACGTCAGTCTCGCAGTCTGGGAGTACGGGTGGGAGGGAAAGAGAGAAGAGAGTATTAATGACGCGTTAAAATTCAACCGTGAAACATAAAGAGACAAACAACACAAAGCAGTACACATTAAACTGCAACCATTTCCCACAAAACTCACTGGCAGCAAGCTTCTGGCCGACCCTGGTCTTCGCTCGGGTTGTCAGATTCCAACGGCGGCGAAACCGCTCAGTCCACCGCTGCGAGCCGGACCACTTTACCTGTGGGTGCAATTCTTTCATCACCTCATGCGACCACTTCTGTAGGCGAGCAATCGAGACCGCGAGACATTTTTTACGGTGGGCAAGAAACCTCCTGTAGACTTCAGCTTCCATGTCGCGATACCACGAGCTCCTTCCGCGCCCATGAAGACGCTTGCGAGCAGCATGCGCGCCCTCCAGGTCAGCCTTCCGGGTCTTCCATTCTGCGAGTGACCTTCGGGAGATGCCGGTTTGGCGAGACATCTGCCGCACGCTCATGTGCCCGGACTCAAGCTTGAGAATCCACTGCAGTTTCTCCTGCGATGTGTAAGAGTGCCGCTTGTGACTTGAAGGCTTGTGCCTGGGGGAGGGAGGACGGGCATCGCGATTCTCGCGAGAAGGGTGGGGCCGTTTCTTATTGGGGGGGGGGAAGGTGGGAATAGGCAGGTGCTCTGGAAGACCGTCGGCAGCCCAAAACTCCACGTCATCCTCCGCACCAGTCGCGGATTCGTCCAACGGGCAATCAGCCGGGGCTCCCCAGCGTGGCGACGGTGCGGAGGAAGACGATGCGCCACCGGCGCGGTCGGGCTCGGACAGGTACGCGTCAAACGCCGAGTAGCCAGGAGGGAGGAGAAGCTGCAGGACCCCCTGACGTGGAGCACAAAACACAGGCGGGTCAGGAGGGGACGGAGGAGCTGGAGGAACCGGAGGCGCCGGGGGAGCGGGAGGTGCAGGAGGAGTTGGGGGAGTGGGAGGAACGGGAGGAGCTACTGGTTGACACGGAGGGACGGGCGCAGGGCGCGACTGCCATTGAGAGTAGTCACAGGTGTCTCGGCGGGTGTTTTCTCTGGCAGCAGGATGGCGGCGGAACAAGAAATGCGTGCCTGGAAGGCCCGCCATGGCCACGGCAGGCCAAACGAACAAAGAAACTGAAGGCAAAAGTCGAGAATGAGGGCTGTATGAAGCCCTCGCCCGAGACCCCTTCATTTTCGCGGCCCGGCCTCCTCTGCGGGAAAAGGGTGGCCCCAGTCAAGATTCCCCGCAGAGGAGCTGAGCTGGGCAGCTCCTTGCCTCGGTGGCGGGGAATTTTGCTGTTGATGGGCACACCGTGGCTGAACCACGACGTGCCCACGATCGCATGCAACCCTGATTGGGCCGCTGTGATGCGAGGTACGTGTGCACTGGCATGGGCCAGGTTCACGTTCGATGAACCTGGCCTGGCCAACAAGGCGTGGAAGGCGTGAAGCCACGCCTTGTTGGCTGTTTCACACGCAATGCATGCACAGTTTCGAACGTTCTCGACCCAGGTGAATCCGCGTTTGAGAATGCTTCGATTTGGTATATTAAAAAACAAATTTCAATTTTGACAAATTATAAACGCCGGCGCTTATAAATTTACTATATTATAAGCCCACCCCCTCAAAAAAACATGTTATATTATAGCCCCCCATGGGGGTATATCCGGGGGGTGACGGTACCAGCGCAAGGTGGTTCACACTCTTCATTAAACGCTTCTGCTATTACATCAGTCCTACCAGGAGTTAAGTCCTGTAAAGATCCTAAAGGCCTTTTCAGCCCAACACCTCCAACTCTAGCTCCATACCCAGATGCACCTAGCCCTCCAAGAGGATAACTGTGCCCTCCCGTCACCCTCTGTCACCCCCTCATGCAGCACCCGCAGCCACCTGCTCTTGACCCACCTCCACCCCACCACCACCCACTCCCCTTTCCAGTCATACTGACTCCTCACCTGCAATATCCTTCCACGAAATCCCACCTCCTCCCGCATTCCCATCTCCTGCTCCGCAGCCACCTGCTCTTGCCCTAAGTCCACCCCACCACCACCCACTCCCCCCTCCGGTCCTACTGACTCCTCACCTGCAATATCCTCCCACGAAATCCCACCTCCTCCCGCATTCCCATCTCCTGCTCCGCAGCCACCTGCTCTTGCGCTAAGTCCACCCCACCACCACCCACTCCCCCCTCTGGTCCTACTGACTCCTCAACTGCAATATCCTCCCACGAAATCCAGAATGCACGATGCCTCCTCGGCTCATGCAGCACCCACAGACACCTGCTCTTGACCCACCTCCACCCAACCACCACCCCCTCCCCCCTCCACCCCAACCGCCTCCTCAACTGCAATATCCTCCCACGAAATCCCACCCCCTCCCGCATTCCCATCTCCCGCCCCATCACCCCCCTCCCCATTCTCCTCGTCCTCCCCTTTAGCGTCCAGGTCTATGAGCTCGTTGGACCGCGCTGCTAGATCCGCAATGCTCACTCGCCCCGATGCCCGGATGTAGCTCGCTACAGCCTTCATCTCGTCTGGGGAGATGAATATGAACTTGCCTCGGTCGTCCATCACTCCTGATATGCGCCCTGTGGAGGGGAGAGGGAAAAGAGGAGGGGAGAAGGAAGAGAGGAGGGGAGAAGGAAGAGAGGAGGGGGAGGAGGAAGAGAGGAGGGGGAGGAGGAAAGAGGGGGGGGGGGGGGTTTGGGAGGGAGGAACTTGCCTCGGTCGTCCATCACTCCTCCTGATATGCACCCTGCGGTGGTGAGGGGGGCGGGGGGCGGAGAAGAAGAGGGGAGAGGCAGTGGCGGAGAGGTAGGTACAGAAGAAGAGGAGCAAGAGCACAGTGCAGCACAGCACGGAACCGCACCACACAGCACAATACTGCATAGCACCGCAACCCACCGCAGTGCACGTACCCATTTGCTCGAGGGAGACGACACGGTTGACCACGTCCTGACAGGCAGTGGCAGCAGAAGAAGGCGGGGGGGGGACGACGCAGCAAAGAGGGGAGGACGGGAAGGGAAGACATGGCGATGGAGACATGAGACAACCTCTGCTGCTGCATCACATGTGTGGCCGACCACTTTCACACATGACATCACATACTTTTGAGACACCTCAGAACGTTCATATGAGGCAACACATGTGCTAACGGCCAACCCATAAGCATCACCCTAGCAGCATCCTAGCAGCACTCCTGTCCTGACACACGCCTCCCCTTCCCGCCCGCCATTCCCACCCACTCACCACCGCTCGCAGCCCAAAGCGCGCTCCCAGGTCCTCCAGTAACACGCACTTGTGGCGCTGTGATGGCAGGGGGGATGGGAGGAAAGCAGGGTGAGGGAAGGTGTTTGTGAAAGGAGGTTACGGGGCACACTCCGCCTCTGCCTCTGCCTCTGCCTCTGCCTCTGCCTCTGCCTCTGCCTTCGCCTCCCATGTGTGTCCTTCCACATCCCAAATCACCCCAGTACACTCACTCCCGCACCCCTCCTCTCCCTCCCTCCCACCTTTCTTTTTCCCAACTTACTCCCCCACAAGGGCTCTCCCTTTCCCTTCCCCTCCTCCGTCCCCCTTCTCCTCGCTGTTCCCACCCCCCCCCCCCCCCCCCCCCCCCCCACTCACGCGGATGTAGTCAGTGAATTCCCCCAGCAGGCATTTATGATTGAGGCGCCTCAAAAGACGATTTCTGAGGCGCATAAAAGAGAATGCACTCACGCGGATGTAGTCTGTGAATTCCCCCAGCAGCCCCTGGCTCTCCTGCTGCTCGTCCCCCTCCACCGTGCCCTCCCCCTCCACGGAAAACATCCCCTTCCACGACTCCAGCTCCGCCTCCGCCTCCCTCTGCCTCCGCACCTCCTCCTCCGCTGCCTCTTGCGCCTTTTAGGGGGACGGGAGGGGGGCGGGGAGAAGTGGGGGGAAAGAAGAGGGGGGACGGGGGAGAGTGGGAAGGGGGAAGGGGGAGAGTGGGAGGGAGGTGTGAGGCGGGGAGAAGGGAGGGGAGATATCAGGGAAAGATAAGTCAAGAGACGAGGAGAGGAGCCCTAAGCCCCTGGCTCTCTCCTGCTGCTCGTCCCCCTCCACCGTGCCCTCCCTCCCCCTCCACAAAGAACATCCCTTTCCACGACTCCAGCTCCTCCTCCTCCGCCGCCTCTTGCGCCTGGAAGGGCCACAGTGAGGGGAGAGATATAAGAGGTGACTTTTGAGTCGACTCAAAAGTGCGCCTGGAAGGGCCACAGTGAGGGGAGAGAGATAAGAGGTGACTTTTGAGTCGACTCTAAAGTGCGCCTGGAAGGGCCACAGTGAGGGGAGAGAGATGAGAGGTGACTTTTGAGTCGACTCAAAAGTGCGCCTGGAAGGGCCACAGTGAGGGGAGAGAGATAAGAGAAGCGACGAGGAAAGAGGAGCCCTAAGCCCCTGGCTCTCTCCTGCTGCTCGTCGCCCGGCACGGTGCCCTCGCCTTCCACGCCTCCGCCTCCGCCTCCGCCTCACGCTGCCGCCATGCCTCCTACTCTGCTGCCTGCCTGTTGCGCCTTGGGGGAGGGGGCGGGGGCGAGGGGAGGCAAAGGGTGATGGGGGGATAGGTAGGAGGGACATCAAAAGTGCCCACAAGGGAAGAGGTTAGGGAAGAGTCAAGGAAGGAGGGACGAGATGGATGCCCACTTATGTTATGGTGCTCCAACAGGCTGTGTTAGTCCATCCCACATATCCTCGGTTAACCACTCCCCACCCACCATCACCCCACCCAGCATTACCACCCACCCCGCCATCACCCCACCCAGCATTACCACCCACCCCGCCATCACCCCACCCACCATCACCCCACCCACCATCACCACCCACCGCTCACCACCCACCCCGACCAACCGTTGTGCACGGACCTTCTTTGCTTCCTCGGCCTCCCTCTCCGCCTCCTTTTGCCTCTGTCTCTCCGCGTATGCGTCCCTCTTCTCCTCCTTCGCCTCCCGCGCTGCTGCCTCCGCCTGATGCCCACATGCATGCTCACACACGCATGCACACGCACACACATGGAAAACATGCACGCGTGCACACGCACACACATGGAAAACATGCACGCGTGCACACGCACACACATGGAAAACATGCACGCGTGCACACGCACACACATGGAAAACATGCACGCGTGCACACATGCACACACATGCACGCACACACAAGCCCACATGCACTCACATGTGCACACATGCACAAGCACAAGAGGAGCAGTCGGATTGGAACTTACTTGGAAATGTAAGAGCAAGAGGGGAAGGGAAGGGGGGTGAGTGAAAATCACAGCGGTAATGACTGAACTGTTCAGTTTTGAAGCGCCTCAAAACTAAAATCACAGCGGTACTGACTGAACTGTTCAATTTTGAGGCGCCTCAAAATTAAAATCACAGCGGTACTGACTGAACTGTTCAGTTTTGAAGCGCCTCAAAACTAAAATCACAGCGGTACTGACTGACCAGTTCCCCCAAAAATGAGACAACCAATGGGACGGGTGCTGGGAAGAACTATTGAGTCAATGTAATGCGGAATCTTGTGAGGCGGGAGGAGGGGAGTGGCACGTGCGGTTATGGGGGGGAAAGCGGAAGGAGTGGGGAGTGGGGAGGACGCGAGGGGGTAGGGGGCAGGAGTTGAGGAGGGAGGGTGGGACGTGGAGGAATGAAGGATGGGGGATATGAATGAGAGAGTGAGAGGAAAAGGCATCTTTCAAGGAATAAGGTCCTTCTCTTTCCTTCTCTGCTCTCATCGTCCTACCTGTCTGTAACCTACCTGTCGCCGTGCCTCTCTTTCTCGTCTCCTGCGATCCCGCCGGCCTTCCGCTCCCGCTCCCGCCTCTTCCTCCTCCTCTTCCTCCTCCTCTCTCCGCCCTCCCCCGCGCTCCCGATGCGCATTCCCCTCCTCCTCCGCCGCAGCAGCCGCCGCCGCCTGTCGGTTTCTCCGCATCCGCATCCGCGCAGCCCCTCCGCGCGTCCCCGCCCCCGCCCCCGCCGCTCCGCCTCCTCTCCGCCGACCACCCCCCGCCGTCGCCGCGCCGTCTTCCGCCGCCTCCGCTTCCTCCTCCTCGTCGCCCGCCTGCGCGGCGGAACGGAGGGAGAGGACGCGCGAGGGGCGATCAGGGAGGGGAAGCAGGATGTTTAGAAATTCGTCTTGCAACAGTTTTCGCGGGGAAGAGTGAGGTAATAAAGTTGTCTTCAACGCGATAAATTCGTGCGACAACTCAGTCTCCACCGCACTATTCCTCGCTTCCCCTTCCCCTCAACCTCCCCCCTCCCCCATCCGCTTCCCCTTCCTCCTGCCCCTCCCAGTCTCCCTCGCTCACTCCCCAAAAGTCTCTCCCCGAGACCGCGCCCGCGACGCCGCTCCGCATGGGCCGGTGCAACCTACCCGTTTCTTGGCGCCAGGGTCTTTAGTCGCTCTAGACGTCGCTACCAGCCAGGACGCCGCGCCGGCCGCCATTAGCAGCATCGCGACCACTAGAAGCACCCATACGGTCGGGTCCACGTCAGCCATGCTGCTGATTGGCTGCCTGCGCTGCGCTGCGCGCTAGGGGAATGCTTCACGGATTTAGCGAGTGGCGAATACAATAAATTTCGAAGAGGAAAACGGAAAAGGGGGAAAAATAAGTGGAAAAGAGCGACTGCGGCACACCGAAACGGATATCTCGTATCGCGAACCCTCCCGTCTCCTTTCCTTCCGTCGTTCCCGTTCCTGGCGGAACGACTGACTTAGATACGAGCAAGGGGTCCGTGAAATGCGACTAGTCAAGCCAACAGGGTCAGGAAATAGACGCGATAGTGGCATTCTCACATCAATGCGGAAGACCCAAACTTGTCAGAGATTCCATTTCAGTACCTATAAGCATACTGAAGTTTTTACCACAACTAGCAACCTCATTGCTGCACTGCATATTCCTCACAATAATTAGTTCTGGTTTTATTACATCACTCTTGATTTGCAGCTGAAAAGGAAATATAGAACACAATATTATGCCCTTCGGCACTGAGTATTTACTTGGGCTTGGGCACTGCATTTCTCTACAATCTTACACGTCCTCTCTTGACCACTCTATTACATCTCCACCGAGCCACCCTCTTGTTGCACCTAACTCCAACAACACCAAACACGCGGAACCACAGATGCATGCTCTCCCACCTCCCCTTGAGCTTCCACCTCTTCCTAAAACAGATTTCCCCTTCCTCTCTCCCCTCCCTCGCCTTACCCCTCTCCCTCCCTCTCCTCTTCTCCCTCACAGACTTCCCCTTCACGCTCGCCACAGCTCTGAAACGTTTCCTCTTCGCTTCTCTCCCCACATCCAGCTTTCCTTTGCCCATCTTCCTCCCCCCCACAACTCCTCCCTCCCTCCCACCTCTCTCTCCACCAGTAGAAGCAGTTCCACGACTCCCACCAGTCCCACCAGTCCCACCAATCCCGCCACCCTTGTGTATCTTGACCCTTTCACCACCCTCACCTCCCTCCACATGTCCTCGCAATCCCACATCCACCCTGCTCTTCCTGCCCAACCTGTTCTCCTCGTCTTCCCTGTTGCACGCCGCCACGCTCAGTATATCCCTCTTGGCTCCCCCCCCCCAAACTTCTCCACCTGATTCTCCTAGTCTTTTCCTACTTCCTCTAGCCTTTCGTTTTCCATTACCTCCATTTCCATCCCCCCCACCCCCACCACCAACACCACCACCACCACCTCCTCCTCCTCCTCCCCTCCCCACCCCCCCTCCTCTTCCTCCTCTTCCTCCTCCTCCTCCTCCTCCTCCTCCTCCTCCTCCTCCTCCTCCTCCTCCTCCTCCTCCTCCTCCTCCTCCTCCTCCTCCTCCTCCTCCTCCTCCCCTGTCTCTTCCTTCTCCCCTTCCACCTAGGGCACTTCCTCCACCCTCCCTTATCTCAACCCTTACAAGCCCATCTCGGTCACTCCGTGTCCTTTCTTGGGCGCGCGAACACACAAAAGCCAGTGAAACAAGCTTGCGTCTCCTTGCACCAACTCTCCACCCCACAACCTCCATCTCCTCCTTCGCTTTTGCTTCCGCTTCCTGCTCTTCCTCCTCCTTTTCCTTCTCTTCCGCGTTATCTCCCGCCTCCTCTCCCCCCTCCTCTACCTCCTTCCCCTCGACTTCCTCCTCCTGTTCCTCCTCCTCCTCCTCCTCCTCCTCCTCCTCCTCCTCCTCCTCCTCCTCCTCCTCCTCCTCCTCCTCCTCCTCCTCCTCCTCCTCCTCCTCCTCCTCCTCCTCCTCCACCGCAACCTCCTTTTCCTCCTCATGCTCCTCCTCGACCTCCCCCTCCTCCCCCTCCTCCCCCTCCTTCTCCCCCACCTCTATCGCCGCCTCCTCCTCCTCCTCCTCGCAAACTCCTTCCCTCTTGCGCTTCCCCTTCATCTGCTGCTCTCCCTCCCTTTCCTCTCCATGCTCATTCCCCCCTCCCTCCATTCTCTTCCGTGACCACAAATCAAGCGGCCCCCCTTCCAAGGCTGCCAGCCCAACTCGCCTCCACTTCCTGTTCTCACTCCTCCCAGGACAATGGCGCTTGCCCCTACCCAGCTGCTGCTGCTTCTGCGGCTCCCCTTGCTTCTCCTCCTGCAAGGGTAGCTGATGTGGCTGCTGCTGCTGCTGCTGCTGCTGCTGCTGCTGCTGCTGCTTCTGCTGCTGCTGCTTCCACTGCTGCCGCCACTGCTGCTGCTGCCGCTGAAGGGCTGCTGCCTCCCTCAGGTGAGCACTCAGAGTGAAATCCTGCGGTTGCAGAGAACACAGCAGCATCCCGCCGAACAGCACACCGCCTGCACCGTCACCATCACTCTCATTCGTATCCGTAACCTCAAAGCCAATCCCACCCTCCTCTCTGCCTGTGCTGATGTCCCCGCCTGTACCTGGATCGCTCTGCTCGCGCAAGTCTCTTCCACCCGCCACCTCCCTTCCCCTTCCTTCCCTGCTTCCATCCCCTACAGCTTCCCCGCTCGAACCCCCGTCCGCGTCCGCCTGCATCCGCTCCTGCTGGGGAGTCCCCGCCTCTCCTGCTTGTGTGCTGCCCCCTACTCCTTCTGCTGAATTTTCTGTTGTTCCATCTGCTGCTCCTTCCGCTGCACCTTCTGCTGTTCCTTCCGCCGCTCCCTTTGCTGCGCCTTCCGCTGTTCCTTCCGCTGCGCCTTCCGCTGCGCCTTCCGCTGCACCTTCCGCGGCGCCTTCCACTGTTCCTTCCGCTGCGCCTTCTGCTGTTCCTTCCGCTGCGCCTTCCGCTGTACCTTCCGCTGAGCCTTCCGCCTGCCATACGATGCCTGCTACCGCGCTGCCAGAACCCCGCCGCTCGTGCGCGCATGCCTCCTCTCCCCCAGAGCGCGACGATTCCAACTTAGAAACCACCTGATCGGGGATATTCAATTTCTTCTCATCCTTTTCTCCACCCACTCCGTTCGCTCCGCCGCTATCCGGATGCCGCCAGTCATGGGCCATCGCTTCCGCAAGGACACGCCGCGCATGCGCTTCCTCGGACGACGTCGGCGACGGGGGTGGGTATGGGCGGAACCTAACTGGCGCTGTTGATCCAGATTTATACGCGTTAGGAAGAGGATCCGTGCCAGAATCGGAGCGACGCTGCAGCAATCGGGACTTTCGCCGCCTGTTGCGTTCCTCAGCAGACCCACTCGCTGGGACATTTAGCATCGTGCCTACGTGTAGGCCTTGCGACTGTCGCATAGGATGACGCTGCTGCTGGCTCTGCTGCGACTGGACATGCGACAGGAAGTGCGATTGGATGGACCAGAGCGAGTCCTCGGCTTGAGTCGTTTCGCATTTGCGCGCCGCTGCCATGGCGGGATTATGCGGGAAGAGCGCGGTGAACCATTCCGGCGAACGATCGCGAAACGCGGTAGGCGGCCATAAGACAGAATCCATGGCTTGACAGCACTGGAAAAAATGAGAGGCGAGGATACACTCGAAGTTGACAGTGGAGACGGTGTGTGTGCGTCGTCTAAGGTGGTGGTTGCGCCGACAGGATTATCCCGAAAGGTGAATTCATGGAAGGATAGCTTGCGAAGGGACTAGCAGATGTGGAAGGGTGCGACGAAGGGCGGGTCCAGCGCGTACCGTTTTCCGTACATTACAGTTCATCCAGTACGGTAATCTGTATTGCGCCACGGTTCAAAACGGTGCGATTTCAAAACCGTTGTGCACTGCTTGATATCTTTTCAAACCACTACGAATGAACTGTATATACCTGTGTACGTGCTGGACCCGCCCTTACTGAAATGCCTGTTCTCTCTAATAACTGTTTATATAAAACTTGGAGAGTATCATTAGCGTCTACAATCAACCACGTCCTAACCACAATCTCAATCAGGCTTGTAAAGAATCATACACGTTATAAACCTTGCACGAACATTCAGGCTCCGAGTTAGCTGAAAGCAAATCTCAACAAGAGGCTGAGATTTGAACGACTAGGAGCGCGGCGCGTGGAGCTCGCCTAGGGACTTTGCTTACGCCGACCCCACCTGACATGTCAGTGAGTCAGCCAGTCAAAGCTGCTTTGTGGGTCAATCTTGAGAAACGTCCGCATGCTTGACCTGCAAACTGAAAATGAGTGCACGTCTACTGTACATACTTTTGAGCACCCCGTTACCTCTCCCTTCTTCTGCCAACAATACTTCTGGCCGTGGCAGGTGAAGTGAAGCCTGCAACAATTTGAACGAAAACATTCCTGCTGTGACAGGAGCTCATGCCCGATTTGCAGGTCCCTCCCGCAGGGTTCCGCAGCGGTGTCCTGCATCCTGGCCTGCCACGTTGGCATCTGTGTCAGAGTGGCTCGTTTTCCTGTCCGCCCGTTCAGCAAATTTGTCAGTGATCAAAACCCTCCCCCGCATGCCCGATTCCCTTCCCTAACCTGATCCCACCTCCCAACCAGTTCCTGTGTTTCTCACGCACAAGCACAACCCATCGCTACTTCCGCCCATCCGCTTTTCCGCCTCCGCCCCGCCAACATCGTCACCAGAACCCCGAGTTACCCAGGTGCCGTCGGGCTCACGTTTCCGCGGGCACACTGCGCTCCCTCGAGGTTTGTCCGCCTGCGGGACCCTACATCCGGACCAGACATCTCCGATGCGTCCAGTCCCAGACCACATTCTCACACCACATCCCGCTGCCATTCCTCCCCCCAACCACACTTTCCCGCTTCAGCATCTTGTTCGTTCTTCCTCCCCTCCATCCCCTCCATCCCCTCCATCCCCTCCATCCCCTCCATCCCCTCCATCCCCTCCATACCCTCCATCCCCTCCCTTCCTCGTGCTGTACACACCGAGCTTTCACCACCACTCGCTCTCCCACAACGTTATCTCTTGTGCTGTGACCGTCAAGCCACACCACCAGCTCTACTGAATTGACCATTTCTTTATCTCGACGTGTACAGCTCCCCATCCGCTGCCTGTGGGAAACCATCGTTTTGCTGACCGTCGTGCGTTAACATTAAGGCTAATCACGCGAGTGAAATTAAGTACGTGATTATAGTTGCCGATGATTGATCCTATTTCGACATATAGCACGTGGAACCTACTGTGTTTCCATAATTCTCCTATTTCCTTGCGCTAGGTTCCACGATATTTACTTCGACGGCCTACGTCACGTTATGCTGTGCCTGATGCCTGAATGGATAGCTCAGTTCGCTACCAAGCTCTCAGAATAGGTCCTCATACCTCTCAGGCGGAGTGTCTACATCAGTCTCAGGGTTCTCGTATTCCTTTACAATCAGCTCTTCGTTATAAGCAAGCTCTGGACATTTGTGCTCGCCGTATCCGTTCTTACTGGACGCTCAATCCTAGGCAGGTATGCTTTGTGGCTCACATCGCCCTTTACTTCATGTCTTCTCCTCCTCCAACCTTCTCAGTCTGTTTCGTATTTCTACCTGAACGTTAGCTTCTCCGCAGGCATATGAAAAGCGGATCTGGTGTATTTATCTTTTTGGTTTCCACAGCTCTGCATATTGCTTAATCTACCGTCGCTTGCATACGCCAGATCCTTCAAAGTCCGTTTACTCACTTCCCGTTGCCGTACGAAGATTCTAGCATTTGCATGCTTGTTTTCTGAAAAGGCCTGCCTAGAACCGTCCTGTTTGTAGGTGGTTGTGTTGCAACTGACCAGGACACACGGGTCCAAGCATTTAGCGCCAGGCATCATGTGTTGTGATCCACGATCCAACCCATTGTCATTTCTAGCAGACCGTTGTTTCCAATTCTCTTCAGGCTCGGTCCGTCGCCTTTTTTTTTTTTTGGTTTCGTCCTAATGTTGTCCCCTCTTTTTCCGTCTCTTCTTGTACCCGTTTCCATTGCATGTGTTTCGTCGCGCGACATCCGCAGCCAATCCGCGCGTCTATATGATTCTCATCGAGACCGATCCGTCTGCTTCCAGATCGCTCCCTTTCGCGCTCTGTGACCGGTTCTTTCCAGCCAGATCTTCCTCCGGACGTTCCGCCTTGTCTGCGGAAGCAGACATCGCGGACGACAGCTTTGGCTCGGACGCCGCTCGCGCGGGCATGGGGGCGGCGGACGGAGCGCAGGCGGCGGAACGCTTAGCGCAGTTACGCCCAGTTGTCAAGGGAACGGTCGTGAATGAAGCGCTGGGTGCGGAGATGGGACTGGTTATAGGAGGTGTTGATGGTGATGGTGGTGGTGGTAGTGGTGGTGGTGGTGGCGGGAGTAAGGCCGGAAATGCCACGGGTTTTGCGTCGCTAACGCGTGGAGCTGACGACGGCGGAAGGAACGGAACGGCTGCTGCTGCTGCCGCAGCTGAAGCAGCCACGGCAGTAACTGCCGCGAGGGTCGCAAACGCCGGGATGACGGGAGTTAGCGGCTTTGCCGGCGGAAATGCCACGTGTCGAAGCGATGGACCCGGTTCCGCTGCAAGGCCAGAACGTATTGGCGAAAGAGGGAGCAGCGGGGGAGGGGTGAGCAGCAGCGGACGAGCGAACTGCGAGGGACGGGGAAATAGCGGGGGAAACGGGGAGAGGAACATGGGGGAGGCTTCGGAAGGTGAAGCTCCGGGCTGGGAGAGGGGAGATGGCGGACGAGCCAACGGGCTGGAGCGGGAGAGCGAGGCGAGGAAGAAGGTTGACGGGCGGGAGGGGAAGAAAGGGCGCAGGATCAGCGGCGGCACACGCGGACAGCACGGAGAGATGCGCGGAGGGAGAGGTGACCGAGAATCTGTCGGGGGTGAGGCAGCTGGCGGAGAGAGGGAGGCGCAAGGGGGGAAAGTGGGGGGAGAGGCTGGAGCAAGCAGCAGATTGGCGGACGAGGGCGGGGCGGAACTGGACGGGCGGACGGACGGGCGCGTGGAGCGGGGGGGAATAGATCCGCGGATGGATGAGCGGAATGACGTGCGCCAAGCCGAAGCGCATTGGGAAGGGGGAAGGGGAAGGAGATCAAGGAACGCCGGAGGAGAGATGAAGACTGAACAACTGGAAGCAGCAGCGATTGGCGCAACGATGGGGCTGAGAGGAGACGACATGGGGATGGGTGTGGGAGGAGGGTGTGGGGGAGTGAAGCGGAGGGGGAGCGAGGTGCAGGAAGCGGTGGGGTTGTGTGGCGTGGAGGAGAGTATGCAAGACGCGGAGATCTTATTCGCGGCTGCCATGCGCGCTGTCAATGAAATGCAGCATGCCGCCTCCTCCGCTCCCGACCCTCCCTTCGCCCCGTTCTCCCCCCTCCCTGCCGGAGCGTCTCTCTCTACCAACCCTGCTGCTACTGCTACTGCCGCCGCCGCCGCCGCCTCTGCTGCCCCTGCTCCTTCTCCTCCTGCGGCTGCTGCTCCTGGCGGTGTTGCTGCATCGATGCATGAACCAGCCACTGCTGCCAGAGCTGCCGCGTTCACAGCAGGTTCCCCAGCATCCGCGCCTGCTGCCCTTGCCGGTCCGTATGGGTCGTACCCAGCACTTGCAGCACCATCGTCGGCTGGCCTTTCGTCTGACAGTCCGTCGCTAGCCAGCAGCAGCAGTCAGGGCACGGGTGGCACGGGTTCCGCCCCTGGGAGCTCCCAGACGCAGGCTCGCAGCGTGCATCCGTATAACAGCCTGTCGCCCGACGCGTCTGTAGGCGATGCGCTGTTCTATACTCCGCCATCGCTCTCTTTGGATGGTCTCGGTCGCCGCTCCGCTTCCGGAGGGGGTAGAAGAGGGGGTGGTGACGTGGGAGCGAGAGGAGCCACTGCCGCTATGGCTGCGGTGGCGGCAGCGGCGGCGTTGGCAGCGGGAGTGGGCGGGGCAGGGGGGGGACTCCCGTCTATTCTGCGGAAAAGGCGCCGTCGCAGCGATTCGTTTCTCTTGGTCAGCCCCTCGAAAATAGCGGCTGCGGCAGCAGCCGCTGCACGAGCAGGACGAGGAGCAGGAGTCGGAGGAAGGGGAGCAGATTCACTCGCAGCAGCAGTTGCAGGGTCAGGAGCAGGACCAGGAGGGGAGGAAATGCGGCGTGAGAGGCAAGAGAGTCATGAGAGGCTGCAAGCAGGGGCAGCAGAGGGCACGTACATGGACCCAAGGGAGTCTGACGGGGGCTGTGCACTGGATGGGTCGATTCAAGCCTCTCCGCTTCCTCTCTTCCCCTCACAGCCTTCTTCCACGCTTGCTGCTGCTCCTGCTGCTGGTGCCGCGGATGCAGCTGCTGCTGCTCCTTCGCCGTCGCACTCCCTGTTGTCGAATCCAGTGGTGTCGCACTGGCCCAGGTCGCGGTCGCTCAGTCTGTTCCCTGCCACGGCTGGTGGTGCTGGAGATCGCAGCAGTCGTAGGCTGGGGAGAAACGCAACGGTGGCTGCAGGACCAGACTCAGCAGCAGCAGCAGCAGCAGCAGCCGCAGTAGCCGCAGCAGCAGCAGCAGTATCAGGGGCAGCAGGGGCAGAAGCGCCATTGCTGGCTGCCGGCCCTCCTCAGCTCAGCCTGGCTCTCACCATCTCTGCTCACCCTGCTGCTGCTTCTGCTGTTGCTGCTGCTGCTGCGGATGGTGATGATAATGATGTTAGTGCACGTGGTGATTCTGCTGGTGCTGATGGTACAGGCGGTGGCAAGGGCAACAGTATGGGCTCTGATCGCACTAGCGAAGCTGCTGGTAATGCTGCAGCCGCTGCTGCTGCTGCTGCTGTTAATGCTGCTAATGCTGCTGTTGCTGCTTCTTACGGGGAGGATATGGTAGTGGAAACGCAGCAGAGTCAGGTGGAGCGAGAAGGGGGGAAGATCAGTGGATTAAGAGCTAAAGGGCAGCATGGGGAGGGGAAGGGCAGGCGTGCGAAGGGTGCGGACGGGGTGAAGAAGAAGAGTAAGAAGAGGGAAAACGGGGGAGGTGGGACTGCAGCTGCTGGTGACTCTGGTAATGCTGCTGCTGGTGCGGCTGCTGCTGGTGCTGCTGCTGCTGCTGCGACTGGTGCTGGTGGTGTAGCAGAGTGTATGGAAGCGAGTTCGATGGACTGGCTTCACCGCGTGCCTAGCACCAGGAGCCACCCAGGCGCCAATACCATTACAGCGCAAGCTTCCTCTGCTGCCGAAGCTGCTACTCCTGATGCTGCTGCGTTTGCTGCTGTATCTCCTGCTGCTGCTGCTGCTGCTGTTTCCTCCTCTCCTGCTTCTGCTGTTGCTGGTGCAACAGAGAAGCATTCTCCCTGCACCTTCTCATCCCCGCCACCGTCCCTCTTCCGCCCTGTGGCCATGTCAGCAACCTTGAAGTTGCCGCCAACAACAGCACAGCCAGCTGGCTTACAGTTTGCAGCTGCTCAACAAGCAGCAGAGGCTGGTATGGCCCAACTAGAAGCTGCAGCAGCAGCACAAGTAGCAGCAACGCCACCACCCAACACCAGAAAAGCAGGAGCGGGAGCAGGGTGGGGAGTGGAAGCAATGGATACTTTGGGAGCGACAACAGGGGCAGTGGGAGAAGTGGGAGCAGGGATGGGAGCTGGAGGGGCAGCAAGCAACCAGAGCGTGCATTTCTCTCCGCTGGGCCCTGCCTTTGCAGCACTCAGTGTGGCCGCCTCACCTGCCAGGCCGTCCTCACTGCTGAAGCCCCAGCCGCTGGTATGCAATCAACTCTTCTTTCCTTCTCTCTGCTCTCTGCTCTCTGCTCGCTACTCGCTAGTCGCTGCGTTCTGCTCTTTTCTGTCTTCTCTCTGCTCTTTGCTCTCTGCACTCTGCTTGCTGCTCGATGCGCTCTGTTCTTTTCTGTCTTCTCTCTGCTCTTCATGCTCATTTCCCTGTTCTGCTCCCACCCTTTCCCCCCTCCCCCCCTCCCCGGTACAGCCCCACCATGAGACGCACATGGCGCACGCTCTCTCTGTGCCTCCAGAAGCCTTCTCCTCCCCGCCCTTCCGCCTGCGACGCCGCCTCATCGATCCTTCCTCCTCCTCACGACCCTACTCGCCGGCACCCTGCATCCCTTCCCATCCGCACCTCTCTCACCCCTCCTGCGTCCCTCCTCTCTCACCGGCCCCTGCGTCTGCGTCTGCCTCTGCCTTGGCGACTGCTCCTGCCTTTCCTGCTCCAGCAGCAGCAGCAGCTGGAACCATTTCTTCCGCACCGCTTGCCCTTGCCTGTGCCTCTACTTCTTCTGCTCCTGCTGCAGATGATGACGATTCTGCTGCTGCCTCTGATTCCATTCCTGCCGATCCCACACCTGCTGCTGTTCAGTCTACTGCACCATTCCTCCCTCCGTCCATCCCTCCACCCGCCCCTCCGTCCCTGCCTTTCCCCACTGCACCTCCACCCCCTCAGTCTCCCCTTCCGCTCACCTCTCATCCCCTCCGTCAATCTCATCTCCCCCCATCCACTTACGATACCATGGTCACAAGTCCTGTCCGCCCCTCACACCCACCACATCCCCTCTCCATTCTCTCTGCTCACATGCCACCTTGGGACGCGGTAAGACCAGGAAGTGGGGGTGGAGGCGGAGGAGTGGGGGGAGGTAGCGGTGGGGGGGGTGGAGGGTTGCGTTTCCTGAGGGAAGTTCTTCCGGGTGGCGAGGAGCGTCTTTCAGTGGGGGAGGTTGGTCCTGGGCTTGCGAGCCTGAGGGATTCTCTGGCTGCGGCGCAACAGAGGTGGTCCCTAGGGGGTGCTGATGCCAGTACCAATGGTAAAGCTAATTCTTCGGGTGCTGGTAACGCAGCTCCTGCTTCGGCTGCTGCGGGTGGCCCTGCTTCAGACACAGCAGCAGCAGCAACAGCAGGGATACTTGGCCCACCCGCACCGTCGCCATCGCCACCCTCCTCTTCATCACTCTCCCCCACCCCAACAGCAGCAGCGACAGCAGCAGCAGCAGCAGGAGGAGCAGGAGGAGGAGCAGCAGTAGGCCCTTCGAGTAGGGGATCTGCATCTGTTATATCCAGGGGCATGGGTGGCGGCATGGTGCACACTATAACCACAAGGCCGGGTGTGACTATGGGCATAGGCATGGGCATGGGTGTGGGCTCGTCTGTTGGTGTGTGGCAGGGCTCATGGCACGGCATGGGGGATTACGAGCGCAATGGGTATGGGAACGGCATGGGCTCTACTGCGTATGGTGAGACTGTGAGTGCGATGGCTGGTATCACAGGAGGTGCAGACCCACCGGTAGCAGACATGCAAGGTGGAGGTGGAGGAGGGGGTGCAGGGGGCACAGGGGGGGGGAGGGGGAGGAAGAGGGGGACGAGGTGGTGGGCTAGTAGGCAGAGGAGGAGGCCCACGAGAAGGAACGGCAGCTGCGGCAGTAGCGGCAACAGCTGGGGGTAGTCCTGGGCCGGCTAGGCCCACGTATGTGCACATGAGAACAGGCAGAGGAGGAGCAGGTGGCAGAGGCGGTGGCCGAAAAGGCAGCATGCTAGGTGGAGAAAAAAAGGGTGGGCAGTAGTAGTCAGCGGAATTCTAGTAGGTTATGTAGGCTATGCCTGGCTGTGTGCTTTCCAGGGCGGGATTGAGGTTAGGAGAGATATCGCAAAGAGGCATGTGCAGTCCTCTTATCATCTGTGTGTGTGTGTGTGCTTAGTTTCCTTAGGTGTTTATTGACTCCTCTGTGCCTAAAAATACTGGAGCAGTAGTTATACACGGCTGGATTGGCAGGATGGGTATGAATACCATACCTATCTTTTGTTATGTTCAGCAAGTTTGTTGTAGGACACTTGAATTTCCTGGCATCCATGCAATGAGGCTTGCATTATTTATTCCTGAACTATCCCAGGGAACCATAGTTGAACGCTTGGCGTGCTAAGTATCTAACAGTAATAACTAGGGTAGATAACTGTGTCAGCAGGGCAGCTGGCTAGATGTGTTCCCAACCCTAGGCTAACCTAACCACACCATCGAGCTGCCTTACAAGTTAGTTGATGAATCTCAACTGCACTTTCCGCAACAACGCGTACAGACGCCAGTCAGCTCCAAAAACGGAGCTCCCAGCCGTCACACCCTCCGGCCACAGCGCAGCCCTCGACTCCACTCCCCTTAAACCACGTGATAATCACCTATGAATCTCGGGGCTGCAGTTCTACTCATCCGCTCACATCCATCGGTTATCCATTACACCACAGTCGTCAGCACCTGTTCCCGAGGCTTCCGCTGCGCGAACTTCTGAATCCATGGGTGCACAAGCACGTCTCTGAGAGCCAATCGCGCCGAAGGCTCCTTCACCAGCAGCCGTTGGATCAGATCCTTGGCGTCGCTTGACACCTTGATGTTGCCGGGGAATTTCAAATCCACTTGCATGATTCTCTTGTACGTCTGCGGGTGGTTAGGCGCTTCGAACGGCGGTGTTCCGTAGAGAAACTCGTATGTGAGCACGCCCAGACTCCACACATCCACCATGCGATCATGCGACGCGCCCTCGACTGCGCAGAGGACGGCACGGCGGAAGAGAGCGGGTTAGAGCTTTAATTCACAAGGGGAGAGGAAGAAAGAGGAGGAAAGAGGAAAAAGGAGGGAAAAAGAAAAAACCAACAGAAGATTGAGCAGCTCCCTCGTGTGTTGAACACGCCTCTCTCTTTCTGAGTGGCACTTTATCATCTTCAGATCCAGGCAGCACAACACAGCACAGCACAGTCGTGCGTTACAACGCAGCACTCTCAGAAGTCGCATTAATTGAGATGATGTTCATCTGCTTACCCATCTCCGGGGGCAGGTAGTCTAGAGTTCCGCAGAGCGTTTGGCGGCGCGAGTTAGGAGCGTGTACGGACCACCCGAAATCTGCGATCTTCACTTCGCCCTGCAAGGTCGGGCAGGGGGCCGAGCGAGAGAGCGAGCACAAGGGAGACAGAGCCAAGAGGAGAGGAAAGCGTTCAAAAAGCAAGACGAAAGCAAGCGAGGTTGATTATGGATGGAATGTGCAAGGAATGTGCAATGCGACGAGCGATGGTTCAAGGTAGCGGAGTAAATTTAAGCTGAAAGCGATTGGTTCGTTCTCCCTATGCTCGCGATGCGCGGGTGAGGGTTCCGAGGGGGACCTTCAGGGCCAGCTTTCGATGCGGCTTACAAAAAAGGAAAGAGAACAATGACAAGTACCCGTGGTTACGACCCTGAGTATAATCTCTTACATCGGAGCCGAGCAGCAGGTTCTCGGGCTTGATGTCGCGATGAATGACGTGCTTCGAGTGGCAGTACATGAGCGCCTCGGCTAGCGACAGGATGTACTGGCACGGGGGAGAGGGTGGGGTGTGGCGTGGAGTGAGCGTCGGGTGAGAAGGGGTTAGAGAGAAGATTCGGGATGCGGTGCGTGAGGGAAGCAACAATGCGAAGCGGAGGACAGGGTGGAAAAATCTTTATCAACGGAGAGGACGGCAGATGAGAGAAGAGGAGAGGGCGCAGCGGAGGAGGAGGCGCCGTACCGTGGCGGCGCGTTGTTCCGAGAACTGCTGCGATTTCTGCAGCTCGCGGTACAGCTCACCGCCCGCGGCAAACTCGAGGATCAGGTACACGCGCTTCTGCCAGAGGGGGGAGGAGCGCGGGCGGGAGACGGGGGGAAACACCATGAGAAACGGGGGGAGTTTGGAGCTGGGGGGCGGGAGTGACCGTGCTGCGGGGGGGAAGGAGAACCGATTGCGAGGCGCAAGCAGCAGCAGCAGCAGCAGCAGCAGCAGCAGCAGCAGCAGCAGCAGCAGCAGCAGCAGCAGCAGCAGCAGCAGCAGCACCACCACCACCACCACCACCACCATCATCATCATCATCATCATCATCTCGCGCGCCTCCCTCCCCGCATCGGCGCCGCGCGGGTCTCACCTCGTCGTAGAAGAACCCGAAGAGGCGCAGGATGTGCGGGTGGCGCAGGTGGCTCTGGATCTCGATCTCGCGCCGCAGCTGGTGCTCCACCTGCGACTCCTGCAGCTGATTCTTGAACAGCACCTTGAGCGCCACGATGAACTTGCTCTGTTACGGGGAAAGAGAGAGAGAGAGACGAGAGACGCGCGCGCGCGGGGAAGGGAGACGGGGAATTTTGAGACGACTCAAATGTTCCACCACCTGCGACGAATTCTGCAGCTGGTTCTTAAACAGCACCTTGAGCGCCACGATGAACTTGCTCTGCCCAGGGGAAAAGGGAGACCAGAGAGGCGCGCGTAAGGGGTGGAGAGGCATGGAGAGGGGCGGGGAGGGGCGGGGGGGGCGGGTAAGGGTGGAAAGGAGCGGTGAGGCATGGAGGTAAGAGTACAAGAGTAGAGACGGAGCGGAACGAAAGGCGGGAGGGACGCAGCACGATTGGGAGAAACCACGGGTTGGGAAACAACGTTGGAGAAGTAGAAGCAGTGGAGGGAATAAACGAAAGTTTCTCAAATCAACAAATCTGCCCTCTGCGTTTCTCCATTCCCACCTCCTCCACCTCACCTTCTTCTCCCGCGCCAGGTACACGCTTCCGAATTTTCCGCGCCCCAGCGGCCTCCCGATATCGAAGTCCTCTAGCGACCACCGGTGCTCCTCTCCGCTCCCGCCAATCGACGCCGATGCTGCTGCTGATGCGGTCGACGCGGTCGACACGGAAACCTGCACGGAAGCAGCGGGGACTCTTGCCCTCTGAAGGAGTGTGCAGAGACAGGAAAATTTGGAACGGGAAGGAGAGCAGAGGAACGAATGAGAACGGTTAAAAACGGGCTGAGACGAGCAGTGCATGAGATGAAATAAGCCTTGCGGATGGAGGCGGGTCCTCCGCGCGCAATTATAAGCGACGTCTTGTGCGACGTGTCATGCGACGTCTTTCACTACTGGGGAATTGTAGACGTACCACTGGCTTCGATTGAGCGGAAGCCGACGTTTGCGGACAGGCTTGGGCGGAAGCGGCGGCTTTGGAATGCGTGGGCGCGCCGTCGATAGAGTTGCTGATCTGTAGCGGCATTCTCGAGGTAGACGGCTGTTGGGCACGCATGACGTGGAGCAAGAGAAGGAGAGAGGGAGAGAGACGGAGTTTAAGGCGGGAGAGAGAGAGATGGAGGAAGAGGATCTTGCGTGGGCGAATCGAGAGACGAGATGCGTGCGTGACGCGTGTCCATCTGCTCACCAAACGACTGCCTTTCTGCACAAGCACTGTATGATAAGAGACGCTACCAGCGCTTCTCGCTGCTCCCAATTGTCGATGTTAGTAGTCGAGAAGCGTTGCTGTTCAAGCAGTACTGCGAAGGCTATCCTTTTCAGTATCGCCCCACGTCCAGGATAAGAGGCTTCTGGGAAGTCAGACTAGCCGTTCGTGGCGCCGACATTTAGTGACTCGTTTCCTGCATATGACAGGCTGGAACCGACCGTAATAACGAGATCACTTGTAACGTGTACTGCGTACTGCGGGTCATAAGATCCAGCCTGGCTGCAGTTGTAGGTCGTCCCTGGTCCGTTTTCCTCCCTCGTCAGAAATCTGCCACCGTCTTTGTCGCTCACCTTGTCGACCTGAGGAGCCATGGTTCGTTTCAGTCGCGGCGACGAAGTCTTGGTCTCTACGGCCTGCCGCACGCGGTTCTCCTTTGCGCGCATCATCGCAGTCTCCGCCGGCGCCATCGTAACAACACGGGCTGGTTATCAAATCTCGCTACGGAAGCACGGCGTGTCTGAGAATACGCTGGCGGGACTTGCGGGAACGTTATACGGAATATCTTTGACTGAGTCGGAACAGATGGCGATGGCTTTAGGGCTGGCGAATAAAATATGGCAACAGCCTACGGCGTCGGTATGACACTCCTCTCACTTTACGACAGGAAGCGGGAGAAACGAGTACCACAGCACATAGCCAACCAGGAGATGCGAGTGCTGCGTCGAAGAAAATTTCTAAACGCTTACGCCACCTGCTAGAGGCGGACGAGGCGATGAGGTAACAAATTGGCAGCGACGCGAAAGAATGGGTAAGTGAGGTTGACGAACTGCGCAAGGGACGCTGATGGTTTTGTGCATGGAGGCTGCGTGGGATGGATTGAATGGGTAGGGTTGGTCACTGCGTTTCCTCGCGCTCCTTTCATCCACGCCGCTGCGAGCGAATTCCAGTTGAGTGACGGCAACGGTCAGAACGAATTGGGGACTCGTCGTGACTCGTCGTTGTGTTGCTCACTCGATTGCTTGTCGCGTAACGAGTTGCGAGCCGCCACCGCACGAGACGCTCACTGATGGCGGCTCGAGACGATGGGCTGGATGGCGAGGCGGAGCTTCCGTTCAAATTTAGGCTGGGCTTTGGCCAAATTGAATTTGGGGTGCAACGCCACCCGAGTTTCCGTTGAGCGGTGATGGACGATTTGTGGTGCCCTCCAGGGCAGGCATTCCCAAACCGCCTGATTCTAGTCTGGTTAAACAAATTCAGACTAGGGCTAGGTCCGGTTTCTGGTCAAAACGTAGAAGCTGGTTTGGGACGCCTTTGCCTGCTGCTCTGGGAACCTGCCGCACCAGAAAGCCCGCCAAAACGAGAACCAGGGCTTTTGAATTTCAGCTTCGATTGAGGCTTGGTTTAGCCGAAGCTCGTCAATTCAATAATTTCGCCAGCCGATGAACGGCTCCGTCTACGTGTCGCTCACTCGTGCCGTCGCAGCCAGAACATGTCACACTAATCTTCACTAATCGCAACTCCGTTTTTTACACCCTCTATCTCAATAGAAATTCATGCTCAAACAAATATGCGCTTATACTGCAGTGGTGAATTTCAGCTACATTGAGATAAACATTCAGCTTTTTATATATAATTTCCCGATTGGAGCCACATAGAGATCATATTTAAATTATGTAATATATTATATTCACGGCTCCTGAACCATGAAAGGCCAATAGAACCATGAAAATATAGCTGGCTGCTTTTCATTTGAGAGAATCAAGTTCCCCCAACCAATAATGCTTTTAGCTGCTGTATTCCACTCCAGTGTACTCGTATAAGCTACAATGCGGAGTTCTGTTGAATGACAACTAAACATCCTAGACCCTTCCAGCAACAATCGATGGCTACGATCGAGAACAATCTCTGTCCGTCATCTTCCGCCATCCATCGTGAGCTTATTGCACGACTGTCGCCAGCACCTGCTCCCGAGGCTTGCGCTCCGCGTACTTATGAATCCATGGATGCACGACCAAGTCTTTCAGCGCCAAGCGTGCCGACGGCTCCTTCACCACCAGCCGTTGGATCAGGTCCTTGGCGTCGCTTGACACATTGATGTTGCGTGGGAATTTTAGATCCACCTGCATGATTCGTCTGTACGTCTGCGCGGTGGTGGTTGATTCGAACGGCGGAATTCCGTAGAGAAACTCGTACGCGAGCACGCCGAGGCTCCAGATGTCCACCATGCGATCATGCGAAGTGCCTTCGACTGCGCAAGGACGGAAGTTGAGAACGAGAGGGAAGAAGAGAAAGAGAGAGTTTTGACATATCTCCGAAAAAAGAAAATCGTTAAGGGCGAGAGTAAGGGCTTAAGGCACACGTACCCATTTCCGGGGGGAGGTAGTCGAGAGTACCACAAAGAGTGCGTCTACGCGAACTAGGAGCGTGTACGGACCATCCGAAGTCTGCGATCTTCACCTCGCCCTGGCGAAAAGAGAGCGTGGTGGAGAAAACGGGATCAGAAAAGTGCTTTTACGAAGTGCAAAAAACGTTCGGTCAGGAGGAACAATTTCTTTATGGCGAATGGCTGAGGATATCTGCTTACATTGGATCCGAGCAGCAGGTTCTCGGGCTTGATGTCGCGATGGATTATGTTCTTGGATTGACAGTAGATCAGCGCCTCCGCTAACGATAGGATGTACTGGCGGGGTGGTGGAAGGAAGGAGAGATGGGGTGGGTAGGAGGAAGCCAAAGCAAGACGGATGCTAACAAGAGCGAGTAACGAGACCGTAACCAGCGACGAGGAGCTGTTGACATTGATGTCTTACCGTGGCGGCGCGTGGCTCTGAAAAGCGTTGCGACTTTTGGAGCTCGCGAAATAGCTCGCCTCCTGGCGCGAACTCCAGAATCAGATACACGTTTGTCTGTCGGGGGGGGAAACAAGGCATACGGCACAGGGAACAAGAGGCGTGTAACTTCACGTGGTGAAGTCACACATGACAGATCAGTGTACAACGCGGACGCGCAATATCACAAGTCATATGCAGCACCATCAGAAACCTCCGCGTACGCCATCAACTCAGCGCAGCTCCGCCTGAGAAAACGATGCGCGGGAGACGCGAGAGAGACGGACGCGACGCGACGGACCTCGTCGTAGAAGTAGTCGAAGAGGCGCAGGATGTGCGGGTGGCGGAGGTTGCTCTGGATCTCCACCTCTCGCACCAGCTGGTGCTCCATGCGCGCCTTGAGCAGCTCCTTCTTTGAAAGCTTCTTCAGCGCCACGACGAACTCGTGCTGCGCAGAGACAGAGCGACAGAAATTAGATATGTTAGGCAACGGCGGAGCAGAGAGGAGAAGAACGTGCGTGTGCGTTACGGACTGCGTGACTCTCCCCAAGAGGGTGCATGTGTCTTCAGAATCATCGTTGCTGCTACTGTCCCGCTCACCTCTTTCTCTCGCGCCATGTACACCTTCCCGAACTTCCCGCGTCCCAGCGGCCTCCCTATCTCGAAGTCCTCAGGCTTCCACTTCTTCGCCTCGCGACTCCCGTTAGCCGACGTCGTTGCGGACCCTGATGCTGAAGCGGCCGATGCAAGAGGCAGCGCAGCATGGTCTCGGGTCCTCTGACAAGCACAGAGACAAATATAATGAGCATAGAAGGGAGGCTTGAATAAGCGGGTACAGCGAGAACGTCGCGCTCGGTTTCTGAAAGTCCGTACGCACCACTGGCTTTGAAAGAGCGGAACCCGACGGTTGGGGAAAAGCGCAGACGTGCGATGAACCGGTAACAGTGATAGCGCCTCCGAGTCGGAGTTCGTGGACTGTAGTGGCATTCTTGTGCTCGGCGGATGCTGGAAGCGGATGACGATGCGAGGATACACGTCAGCAGCAAAAGAATTGCTCGCGAAAAAAAAAAACGTTATTTGCTCTTGGTGACTAGCTTAGTCGCGGGAACATCATCTTTTACTTGAAGGAATGGATCTTAGCCGTGGGTTTGAAGCCGCGGTGTGTGCAATACTGTGGTAGATCGAAATCAGCCTTTATGGATTCAGAATTGGCAGTCGTCATCATCGTTGCTCACCTTGTCTACCTGAGGAGCCATATTTTGAGGCAGTGCCGCCATAGATCTCATGCGTTTCTCCAGTGCGCTTGTCATCGCACTCTCTTCAGTCGCGATTCAGCAAGGTTCAACCTTGTAGAACGAGCGAGGCGAGTATGGGAGCTGTATAGCAGGTCTCCACTTCGAACCAGAGCTACTTGTTTGTGTTTCGTCCTCTGGTTTTCAACACAAAAGCGCTAAGAGAACGGACTATTGATGACGGTTGCACGGTCGATGAGGAACAAAAGTGCAAGTCAGAAGAGGACATCGCCGCGGAGAGGTCAGAGTGGTGTTTATATGCTCGATGGGAGTGGATCTTTGGGTTTAGCCAGTTGTGCCAGGAGAATGCTAGGCGTTTTCTCCTCTCTCTCGCGATCCCTCATTCTGGGTGAGCGGATTTGCTTGGCGGCAGTGCCTGCGCTGCACACCAGCAAATTCTCTGCGCTCCGTGAACTGGTGACTACGTTGGTACTGCCGCCACACCGGCCACACGCCTGGAGGACAAAATGGCGGCAATGTCAGGCCAGGTGGGGGATGAAACACGCAGGTCAGGGAGTTGGCTTCAGCCCACTTCGCCTGCTGGACTTAATTGGCAAGGCTTCAGGGAAAGCTCGAAGATACTCCGCAACCACATCAGAAGTGACGCACATTCAATAAAAAGTACATCGTTCTATCTGTAATTTATATCATCCTAGACATTATGATGCATTGGTATTTAATGCAGCATCAGTCCTACAATTCGCCTCCAATACTAAAAATCCAATGCAGGATTTACACACATGAAATTTATTCTTCCATATGTTTAATTGAACTTCCCTTCTCTTTACTATATTTTTCTTAGTCGTAATATAAGTTTATGGGCTTTGAATATTTATCCATGTAATTGATATTTATTATTTGAACCTTTTAATTGTTGGAAACAATAGTTCCTAAGCGCCTCTGTCGTGTTGAAACACTAAGGCACAAACGAAGCAGAGCATATCGAGGCAACAGCGAGCCAACCCTCGGAGGTTGAAGTAACTGCTGGAGGTTACGCAAAAGTCAAAGGTCAGCGACCTTTGACCTCACAAATACAGCACGACAGCAAGGACACACAACTGACTCGTTACAGAGCGGTTGCCCGAGTCGTCACTGTATCGAACCACAACAGCAACAAGTAAAACAGTTATAACCGTATCCTTTCATATTCCTTGTACTCTTATATAATCTTGTATCTCTTTGCTTTAATCAATTCACTTTGCCCTCACATACTAGCGCAAGGTGGTTCACAAACTCCTTATTAAGACGCTTCCGCTACTACATCAACTCTACCCAGAATTCACCTCTGCAAAGATCCTAAGGGCTTTTTCAGCCCAACATGGTATGAGAGCTATCAGGGGGACTTCGACTTATATACCAATAGTGTCAATCAGCATGGCTACACAAAAGGGAAGGAGCAACTGTTGGGCTGAGAATTTCAGCCTTAGGATCTTTTCAGAGAATAGGCTAGTAGGTGCTAGAGTAGCACAGCGGAAGTCTTGAGTGAATGTACTTGTGCTGGTATGTGAGAACAAGTAATTGATTAAAGCAAAGGGCATACAGGAATATATAGAAAGGATAGATTACAAGAAGCGGTTATGTTTATCGAGACGCGTGACGCTTCGACTATCGAGGTGGTTACTGTTCACTGAAGCGTCGCTTGCTGTTACGTAACCTCCAGGCGGTTACAGCTCGCAACCTCCAGTTGCGGTTTGATGTGGTACGCGCCTTTTCGACTTCGTACTCCTTTTGTTGTGCTTCAGTATCGGGTGAGGTTCGATACTACAGAAACACACTAAGTCATGCGTTTATTTTCCCAACAGCAACTCCAACGGATCCCAGGGCACTACTCCTATGTCAAATTATAATATTGTGTAGGCTATAGTGGGGTAGCCTATATGGGATACACATTTCTAGGGTTGCATATTTGTATCACTTCCATTCCTTAGTCAATCATCCTCGTTCTACTTTCCTCATGGTATCGAGCAGGTTCCCCCGTGGGAACTATGCCTAGGGCCCACCACATCGATCTTTTTTTTTTCCTGCCCGAAGCGCGCTCAGCCCGAGTCGCGCTCCGGGCTCTCACCTCTTCGAGCCGCCCTTCTCAGCGGCCCCGCCGCCCTTCTCAGCGGCCCCGCCGCCCTTCGCTGCGACCCCGCCGCCCCACATTGCGGCCCCGCCGCCCTTCTTCGCGGCCCTGCCGCCCTTCGCTGCGGCCGCGCCGCCCCTCGCTGCGGCCCCGCTGCCGTTCGCTGCGGCCCCGCCGCCCGTCTCAGCGGCCCCACCGCCCTTCTTCGCGGCCTCGCTGCCCTTCGCTGCGGCCCCGCTGCCTCACGTTGCGGCCCCGCCGCCCTTCGCTGTGGCCCCGCCGCCCGTCTCAGCGGCCCCGCCGCCCGTCTCAGCGGCCCCGCCGCCCGTCTCAGCGGCCCCGCCGCCCGTCTCAGCGGCCCCGCCGCCCTTCACTGCGGCCCCGCCGCCTCTCTCGCTGCGGCCCCGCCGCCCTACTCAGCGGCCCCGCCGCCCTTCACTGCGGCCCCGCCGCCTCTCTCGCTGCGGCCCCGCCGCCCTACTCAGCGGCCCCGCCGCCTTTCATTGCGGACCCGCCGCCTCTCTCGCTGCGGCCCCGCCGCCCTACTCAGCGGACCCGCCGCCCTTCTACTGCGGCCCCGCCGCCCTTCTCAGCGGCCCCGCGGCCCTACTTAGCGGCCCCGCCGCCCTTCTACTACGACCCCGCCGCCCTTCTCAGGGGCCCCGCTGCCCTTCTCAGCGGCCCCGCCGCCCTTTACCAGCGGCCCTGCCGCCCCTTCATTGCGGCCCCGCCGCCCCTTTCACCAGCGGCCCTGCCGCCCTACACCGCCCGCGCCGCCCGAACCGCCCGAGCCGCCCGAGCCGCCCGACCTGCCCGAGCCGCCCGAGCCGCCCGAGCCGCCCGAGCCGCCCGACTCTCCCGAGCCGCCCGAGCCGCCCGACCAGCCCGAGCCACCCGAGCCGCCCGAGCCGCCCGAGCCACCCGAGCCGCCTGAGCCGCCCGAGCCGCCTGAGGAGCCGAGCCGCTGGTGCCACGGAGCCGCAGTTGCTGCTGTGCCGTCCGAGCAGCTGTGTTGCCGTGCTGCTGTACTGCTGAGCTGCCCGACCCGCCCTATCTGGTGAGAGCAGCGCTTCTGTCACTGCACTGCCCCTGTCCTACAGTTGGTACTACTAGTCTACTACTGTCATGGCTACCCCCAGTGTTCTCGCTTTTGACGCTGAGGGTCGAGCCATTGACTTTGAGGTTTGGGTAGATGACCTGCAGCTTTTCCTACAGTGCGATAGGGCAGACGGTCTCTCCCTCTTTGACCTCACCTCTGGCTTCTCTCCTGCCCCTACTGCTGATGCTGACCCCACTGTTTGCTCCCAATGGGCCACGCGCGATGCTGCTGCACGTCTTGCTGTGCGTCGCCACCTGCCTACCACTGAGCGCGCGCAATTTAGTCAGTACAAGAGTGCTCAGACCTTGTACGACGCTGTAGTTGCACGCTACTCTTCCCCTGCCACTGCTGCACTGAGCCGCCTCATGCTACCGTACCTCTTCCCTGACCTTGCTGCGGTTCGGTACGCGGCGCATCAGATCAACCTTCACCCCAGGGTCTCCAGGCCGGAGACCTCCCCAGCCTTGCTGTGGACGGGGAAGGTCGGCGATGCGTCTGCGTTCCGTGTCTGAGGATCTCGGGCGTTTGTCCGCGACTTGTCTGCGGACAAGCTGTCCCCTCGTGCTGCTCCCTGTGTCTTCCTTGGCTTTCCCCCCTGACGCCCCTGGGTGGCAGTTCTACCACCCCACCTCTCGTCGTGTTCTGTCCTCCCAGGACGTCACGTTCGACGAGTCAGTCCCCTACTACCGCCTCTTCCCCTACCGCACTCCTTCCCTTCCCCCCGCCACCGCACTTCCTTGTGCCAGGTCCCCCCCCGGTAGACCCCCTCCCCCCTCAGGGTCCTGCCCCTTCAGGTGTGTCCCAGGTAGACGCAGTCGAGCCGGTCGAGGTTGCTGGTGACTCTGGTACTGCTGCGGGTGCTGAGCCTGGGGGTGCTGACTCTGGGGGTGCTGCGCGCGTGGGTGCTGAGCCTGGGGGTGCTGAGTCTGGGGGTGCTGCGACTGGGGGTGCTGAGCCTGGGGGTGCTACGACTGAGGGTGCTGAGCCTGGGGGTACTGCGACTGGGGGTGTTGAGCCCGGGGGTGCTACGACTGGGGGTGCTGAGCCTGGGGGTGCTACGTCAGGAGGTGCTGAGCCTGGGGGTGCTGCGTCTGGAGCTACTGAGCCTGGTGGTGCGGAGCCAGCGGCCGCTGGACCTGCTCGTGTGGCGTTTGGCGGTGCTGGGCCTGGAGGTTCTCCGGGTGCTTCGTCTCGGCGGGAGCCACTCTCTCCACAGGAGCTGCGCGAGTGGTTTGCCCGCCGCTGGAGGCGTACTGCTGGAGCTGGAGCTTCTTCGGCCGCTGAGGGTGCTGGTGCCGCCGGTCCCAGAGGTGCTCGTCCTGGGAGTGCTGGAGCTGCTGGGCCTGCGGGTACGACTGGAGCTGGAGCTGCTGAGGGTGTTGGCGCTGAGGCTACTGCTGTCAGTCCTGGCGGTGGTCCTGCTGCGGGTGCTGCTGGTACTGCTGGAGGTCCTGCAGCTGGAGGTGCTGTTGGCGCTGGTGCTGCCGCTGAGGGTGCTGGTGCTGTCCCTGCTGTGTCTGGAGTCGCCGCGCGGCCTCGGCCGTACTTCGTTCCGCTCCTTCAGCAGGTTCTTGGTCCTTCTCCTCCTGTAGAGTGTCCACCGCCTGTCCAGTCACAGTCACAGTTACCGCCCGCCTCCCCACTGCCTGCTCCCTCTCCTTATACTGGTCCTACTGGAGGTCTTGCTGAGCGTCGTGAGCCTGCGTCTCGTCCCGCGTCGCCTGTTCATGCTGCTCGCGCTAGTGGTCGCGGTTCGCGTCACCGTCCTCCTCCTGTCCCTGGCACGCACCGGATGTCTCTGCGTCCGTCCACTGCTCC